AGACTAAACTCAAACATATGATAAATTTAAAATATTATATGGATATTCTAAATAGAAAATTACCAAGTTAAATATTTAATTTAAGATAGAGGATTTTATTAAAAATAATTGTATGAAATATTTTTCTATTGAGACAATTTTTCTTTTCTTATAATTATTGGACTAAAAAGTTGAAAACAAGACTAAAGTCAAACATATGATAAATTTAAAATATTATATGGATATTGTAAATAGAAAATTACCAAGTTAAATATTTAATTTAAGATAGAGGATTATATTAGAATTTAATAAATTGAAAAGTTAATTTTTCATAAAAAAATGTCTATTCAATTATTTGATGAGAAACATTTTATATGCTTTAATCTATTATTTTAACCTTGATTGTGTTGCTATTTGAATGAACAAGATGTAATTTTTAGTATATTTTACATAATTTTTATTCTTTGTATATAAAAAAAATTTTTTTGAATGTAAAAGTTTTTGAACTTAATTGAATATCTTTAAAAATTTGAGGGAGTGAATTGCCAAAAAAAGGTTGCTGTCTGTTTCAGGAACCTGAAGGAATGAATTTGAAGTTATTGGATCAAGGTGCTTATGGTATATAAGCTAGAGGACCAGACCCGCTCTTTAACCATTGAATCAGTTTAGTTTTTCTTTAGGTTAAATGCTAATTTTGGTCCCTCAATTTTAAGGTTTTGTATAATTTTCATCTCTCAACTCTTTTTGTACTTTTTGATCCCTTAATTATGAAAAATGTACTTTTTTAATTTTCCATCAGTTAATCCATTAAATTTATCTAAATCTATACATTTTCAGTCTCTCAACTTTAAGTTAATGAACAAAAAATATGTATATATTAGAAGTTGAGGATTAAAAATGTGCAGATTCAGATAGATTTAATGGATTAATTAACAGAATGACAAAAAAGTGTATTTTTCATAGTTAAGGGACTAAAAAAGTGCAAAAAAAGTTGAGGGATGAAAATTGTGCAAAACCTTAAGTTGAGGGACAAAAATTGGCATTTAACATTTTCTTTATTAGTTTAGTTAATTAGTTCATTCAAATAATTTAATTTTAATTATTCAAATAAAATTAGAATTAGCACATGGCCTTAGAGGCCTAATGACATTAACCATTAAATAGGTGCATTTCCCTCTCCATGGGCGGGTTTCGAATTTGCCCCATGTCAAAATGTTAAAAAAAAAGAAAGAATTAGTTAATTTTGATACTTAATTAGTCTACAGTTTTTGTAGGACAATACTTAATAATCATCATTATATTACTTAAACTAACTAATACTCTTACTTGTACTTATGTACTCTGGAGCTAAGTAGCCAAAAGTACCTGCCAACCCTGTTGTAATTTGACTTAACTCATGGTCCATCAACTTAGCCAACCCAAAGTCACCAAGCTTAACATTAAAATTGGAATCCAACATTATATTACTTGACTTAATATCCCTATGCACCACACATTGCTCCCACTCTTCGTGAAGATATAGAATTGCCGAGGTCAATCCAAGTGTTATTCTATACCTTATATGCTAAGGAAAAGGACTCCTTTTGCTAAAGAGATGAGAATCAAGACTATCATTTGACATGAACTCATAAACAAGCAAGAACTCACTCCTTTCATGACACCAACCAATAAGTTGCACCAAATTTCGATGCCTTAACTGACTAATGGTCTTCACCTCTGTCACATACTCCTTTTATCCTTGTTTTGATCCTTTAGAAATTTTCTTTATAGAAATCAACATGTCTACATTGGCTAGAGAGCCTCTATAAACTGCATCGAAACCTCCTTCACCCAATTTCCTATCTTGAGAGAAATTGTTAGTAGCAGAGGCAAGATCTTGGTACAAATACCTTCGCGGTCCAATGCCCATCTCAAAATCATCAGTGATAGATGTTAAATTTGTCCTCTCTGCCCTTTTATTTACCTTCTTCCTTTGCCTCATAATACATATGCTAAAAGTGTTCCAATGAGAAGAATGATCACTAGTACCACAATAGCAACAACTAGTTTGATCTTTCTTGATGAGTCGTTGGTTTCCTTAGCATCCAAGCTTGAATTGAATTTCCAAGATTTGAGTGTATGTTGTTTAGCTACACCTCTTGTAGAAGCTGAAAAGCCTATAGTCACCCATTTGTTCAAAACGTTCCTTAAATCAACCAAGTGGTAAAGGCTTGAATTTTCTTGAGGATTCTTGCTATTTTGATAGCTCCATGAGACACTCAAATTCTTGGTTGTAGACTTATAATATAAGTAATCAATACATCAGTAGTATCCCTAATGTGGAAACGTGCATCTTATGGAGTGTAAACAGTAGAGTGTATAGAATTGATATTGATACCCACATGACTTTGAACATCCATAGGATCCCATCCAAGGTTCTGGTAAGTGTCAAATTCCATCGAGATGATCCTATTTGAGGGGGAATATTTTGTTGTGGTGTTGAATAGGCCAAGGTAGCCACCACCAGAGTTGGGTGGGATTTGAAATCCAACTGGAGCAAGGAAAAACTCAATTCCATCATTGGTAATATTTGGACTCGGTGCATCAATACTGAAGGAGAAAGACAAGTAAAGTCTGAAAGCTTTCCTGAGTTGGAGTCCCACATCTGGACTTCATTTGCATATGTGACCCAACCAACACGAAAGGGTTCATTATTGCTGATTAACTCCACAATTCCAGAGGAAGACATTGCATCTCCTTGGTAGAGAATGTAATTGGGACTAGGGTTGAAGTTAGGTATTTGAAAGCTTATTGAATATGAAGATGGAAGAAGAAGAAGAATAAAGGAAACACATTTTGAACTTTCCATGGCGTGGTAGATGGTAGGAAGTCTATGAAAATTATCACACATATACTAATTTGTATAACACTAGTTGGCAAAGTCATCCATACTTGATTGAAAATTGTGACCGTTGTATATAATCCAAAATTGACCATCAAATCAATCCCTACATCAGTGGCATGATTAATCAAACATTGACTAATAAATCAATCAAAAGTCCTTGGCGTGATTAATTCATTGACTAACAAATCAATCACAAAGTCGATGGTGTGATCAATCCAACATGGACCAATAAATCAATAACAATTACTCACTATTAGTTGTTTTCAAACAATTAAACTAAAACAAAACATAAATTAAGAATCTTATAAATCAAATATTTTTAGTCTAGACTTGTAAAATAAATGTATGTGGGTTGAAATATCAATAATGCCATAAATAAATTAATTTAGGCACGGTTTGATATTATTGTATACACCAGTTTTTCAAACAACACATTTTCTAAAAATATAAATTTAATGCAAAATTAACAAATTTTAATTAATATTTTATATATTTTTAATAATTTTAGCTAATATTTTATAAAATTTTGAGAGATTAAAAGAAAAAAAAAACCCTATGGCCAAAGTATTACAATTCCAAACAAAACCTTAACATAGAAATTTATTAATGATACTTTTGATACTAAGCTCCAAGATGACGAAAAAAGATGTAAATAAGGATATCAATTTTGTTATTTAAGGATATTAGCTTTATCAATTTTTAAATAAAGATGTCAATTTTTAACTTTTTCTATTTAAGGATGTTAACTTTCATTTTTTTTCGGTTTAAGGATGCTAATTTTTAACATTTCAATTAAAAAATTTGCTTGACACGTTAATATTATCATCCAATTAATCTTTAAATAGAAAAACTTAAAAATTAATATCCTTAAATAGAAAAAATTAAAAATTGACATTTTTAAATAAAAAACATTAGAAGTTGATATCTTTAAATAAAAAAAAAATTAAAAGTTAACGTTTTTATTTAGAAATTGATAAAGTTAATATTTTTAAATAAAAAAATACAAAATTGAGATCCTTATTTTCACTATTTCTCTCACGATGAAATAAAATATCAACTCATACTAAAAAGAATATTTCTACATGAAATGATAAAGGGTAAGTTTAGTGAGTATAAAAAAAATTTAGAATGTTATGGTGTTGATTTTTTTCTGAAAAATATATACTAAATTTTTGTTTTAAATTGACTAACTTCATAATTTCAAAGGTCATTAATTTCTTCTCATCTTTACCTTTGTACACGGCAAAACAATCCCAGATTATGTGTTCGTGAAAAATACTATTGTCTTGTAATCAATCGTTGGGTATGGTGATTATAGGAATTACCAAGGTAGTTAATTCCGTTTCGTACCGGCCGGTATGGCAGGTATGTACCGGATTTTTCATGGCACCAAAACGGTATAAAGCTTAATTTCGTTTCGGTCAAATTTCGCTCATTTCGGTCAAATTTCGGTATTTCGTCCGGTATTCCGGCGTACCGGCGGTGTTCACAACAACTTGATATTTTTTTGGAGAAGAAAGATCCTCCCTTTCTGGTGGCTGCCAAACCCCTCTACTTACCGGTGATGAAGGTGGAGGCAGTGATGATGATGAGACGCAAGAAGATATCAAGGTCGGAGTCCCGAAGGAGGCTTGCGGCTAGATCTGCATCGTCTTCTTGGTGATTGGTGAGATGAGACTCATGAGAGTGACGATTGGCTAGCAAGAGGATGGTGAAGGTCGGAGGTGAAGGAACGGGGTGATGGTGGCTGTCGCAGATCTGTAGAAGGGAGAAAAATTGAGAGGCTTTCTGTTTTCTTTTTTTATTTTTTTTATGTTTGCCGTCTCTTTCCTCCTTTAAAAGAGAGGAACTAGGGTTTTTTTTATTGTTAAATTTGGGTTTGAATGGGCTGGGTTTTGAAATTGGGTTGAGATTTGAATTAAATTGTTTGTGGGCTCAATATTATGGTGGATTTGTAGATTTATCTTGGTAGATTTCATCTTTAATTTTTTAATTTTTTTGATTGAGTCCTTTTCTTGTTATGTTTTTTGAATTTCTTCACAAAATTTTTTTATGACGGTAAATTCGAAATGGTACACGAAAAATTCCGATATCCAGTGTGTACCGTTCTAGTAGCAAAACCGATACATATGCCGGTACGGTATTGACTACTTTGGGAATTACATAACTTTCGTATGTCTGATTCTTGGCCTGCGGATGTTTACCGAGTATACGCAGTCGGCTAGTCCACTGAAACTAGCATAGAATTGACCGATAAAAAATCTTCAAGGACAATAAATAACTGCATGTCTTCAATTATACGTTTAAAGATCTTAGAATGATAAACGATTCTAGTGTATACGTCGTAAATGTCAGGGCAACAAAACCATCAAAGATGTCACATTCAAAGCCCTGGACCAAAATTTAAAACCATATATTTAATCATGCAGAGGCTGTGACTGGTAATAGTCCGTTCTGCCTGAGCAGTGCATCTGGTGAAGGTTCACGACCTCGGAATTCAATAAAGACCTGGATGACACGGTTAAAGCGTTCGCTTAACACATTCTCATTCAACATAAAAGAAATAATAATATCAAAAGTCACAACGCAACGAATACGTTACATAATGTTTCTAATAAACAAATCAACGAAAAAAGAGAAAACTAACTACAGAGGATATGTAGCTCATTATAAAGTCTGTATTGACTAACCTCTAGTGGTGCTTTTCCACCTCGAAGAGCAAGAATTGTTTCTTGGAACTTCCCCCGGTTTCTTTAACAGCCTGTTGAATACAAATATACACAGTTATTTATGGATTAAATGAGAAAAGAGTAAGGTGTGTGTAAGATGCTCACACACTCTCAAAAATGCAAGGCAAATCCAACATAATTAACACCCAGCACCGAACAGCTCTTTCAACTACCATACCTTGCTATAATCTAGTCCAGCAGCCTCAAATGCCAAGAAAGCATCTGCAGGCAATACTTCCGCCCGCTGCAAAATTAGCCATGAGGAGTTTTAGATTGCATTACAATGGGCAATGTAAAGGAAAATATACGAAAATTATTGAATCGCAAAGTTTTCTAGGCTTTGGATCATAAATCACAATAAACTATACCTAGTAACTGTAATAACCAGCCACGTATCCACCTGAGATTCACCAGTGAAAATTAACACAAATATAGGCAAAGGTTGAACCAAAGAAACAAAATACGTATGACATAATTTTTTTTAAGAAAAAAAAAAAAGAGAGGGCACACCTGCAAATATGTGGCTGAAACTAGAAAGGAACTTATCTTATGGTAACGGAGGGATCAACTGTGTCCACCTTGGAGGGATCAACTGTGTCCACCTTGAAACTCTCTGATCCACATCATAAAAACCACCAGGTGTATATTTGGTCTGTAGCTCCAAATCTACACTGGCAAATCGGATCTAAAAT